TTCTCAATGTCTTTGAGCGTATTTTGAATTACTAGATTGTAGTTTTCCATTCTTTTGTAGGCATGTCTTTCAGGCATGCTTCCTTCCATTGCCTTCAGGGATATTATTTTCCTTAGTTCTTTTTTTTTGTAATAAAAAGTTTATATGGTATGTAATTGTGATCCTTCTCTCTCCCCCACCCTTCCCATTTGTGCATTAATTTTCCTTATACTTTTCAAAGAGAGGTGGTCAGGATAGCTTCTCTACCTTTCTGGCTCTTCAACTCCCCCTTCTGTTGTTTTCATGAAATGTAAAAAAATATGGCTTCCCATTCTCTAATACTTTTTTTAAAAAAAAATTTTATTGTGATTTGGGTGAACATTTACAGAGGAAATTCATTTTCCATGAAGCAGTTCATACACATTTGTTTCATGACCTTGACTGCAATTCTCCACAATGTAACAGCTCTCTTCCCACTTCCTCCCTTTAATTACTTCTTCCCTGTGTCCTTTCCTCCCATGCACTCCTGTTTCCCCGAGCTGTCTCCTTGTGCAAATACTGCCATTCTGTTCCCCCACGATTGATCGCTCCATGGAGTGTATTGACCTGATATAAATGTTTATCCCATATGCCTATCCATTGTTTGTCTGGAAGCCACAGGAATGAGTTCAGTTCCAGACCTGAAGGATAGCTAGGGCCCGTAGTCTCAGGGGTCTCACCAGCCTCTATCAGACAAACAAACGTGGTCTTTTTTTTTTTTTAATGATTTTGAGTTTTGTTCCATATTGTTCTCCCACTCTATCTAGGATCTACTACACTGATTGCCCTCTGAGCGGTAGCCAGGCACCATCTAGTTCTTCTGGTCTCATGGTCATATAGGCTGAGGATCACATGGTCTGCTAGTCCCTTGGACTAATTGTTTCCATGCATCTTTGGTTTTCTTTATCCTTCTTTGTTCTGGAGGAAGAGAGACCCATCGTCGTATCTAGATAGCCGCTTGCAAACTTTTAAGACCCCAGTCACTGCTCACCAAAGTAGGATGTAGAACAATGTTTTTGTGTAGTATGTTGTGCGAGTTGAGCTTGATGTCCCCTGCGACCATGGTCCCAAGTGTGCTGGTCCAGCTAGTCGTTCCCTCAGGGTAGCTGGCTGTGATCAAGAAGCCCCCACAACCCCTTCCTCAAATAGTTCTTGAGTTGGCTGGTCTCCTCTCTCTGGATCTTTTCTTTGTCCCTAGTACCCATGTCCTGCTCTGTTTGATACTGTTTTTAGCATGTTCTCTTCTTTGGGCCTTTGTCTTAGAGATGAGCTCTAAGATCTAGAGATGGCTTAATAGCTTTGAGGGTTCACAGGATCCAGCCTGCTTCAGTTCCTTTAAACTTCATTGTAATCCCTTTGTGGTGGTGGTGGGGTTGGGGGCATCAAAGCAATTTCACCTCATAGCAACCCCATGTGACAGAGTAGAACTATCCCACAGGGTTTTCTAGGTTGCAGTCTTTATGGAAACAGATCACTAAGCCTTTCTCCCATGGAGTTGAACCCCTGGTGGGTTGAAACTGCCACTTTTGGTGAGTAGCCAAGTGCTTAATGATTGTACCACCAGGGGTCCTTAGTAAAAACAAACAAACAAACACCCAAACTCGTTGCTAGGGAGTTGATTCCGACTCATAGCAACCCTATGGGACAGAGTAGAACTACCCCCTTAGAGTTTCCAAGGCTGTAATCTTTAAGGAAGCAGACTGTCAAATCATTCTCCCTTGGAGTAGCTGGTGGTCTCCAACCACTGACCTTTCAGTTAGCAGCTGAGCCCTTACCCACTGCCCCACCAGGGCCCCTCTGGCTCCTTAGTACCCGCCTGTAAATCAGAGTGGGCAGATTCCATCGAGCTCCAGCTGCTGCCTCACATTGGTCTGGCATTTTCCAGTGAGCGCTTGTTGGCCCTTTGGGGTTCTCTTCTCAGATCCATTAGAAGCCTTCTTGCTTTTCTCCACCTTCTCCCCCACAGGTGCTAACACACACAGGCCTTGTAGCTCTCATGGTCTGTCACCACCCACTCATTTCAGAGTTCATGAAGTTGGTTACCTTGTCATCAGTCTTGTAGATATCTGTGGGTATTGGTTTTGCTATCCTAATCATCCTATTTTAGAGAAACTAGAAAACTATACTGGTGGCATAGTGCCTAAGGCACTTGACTGCTAACCAGAAGCCTGTCTATTCAAACCCACCAGCCACTCCTCGGAAGGAAGACTGGGCAATCTGCTTCCATAGAGATGTTGTTGTTGTTGTTGTTGTTGTTATGTGCCATTGAGTCGGATCCAACTCATAGCGACCCCTCCTTGGGTTTCCAAGGCAGTATCACTGTGGAAGTAGATTGCCCAATCTTCCTTCTGAGGAGTGGCTGGTAGGTTTGAACCGCCAGCCTTCTGCTTAGCAGTCAAGTGCCTTAGGCACTATGCTACCAGAGCTCCTTCCTCAGAAACCCAAGGAAGAGTCACTGTGAGTCAGAATCCAGTCTATGGCAGTGAGTTTCGTTTTTTTGGTTTTATACCGATTCTTTGCTGTCTTTTCAGAATATGCTTTTGGATTTTGACCAAATGCTACTGGTATTTAAATACATTATTCTACTAGTCTCGTAGAAACCCACAATCTTTGAAAACTAGTTGTGTAATATATTTTGTTTCTGAAAAAGCTTACAACATAGAGCTTGTTTTAAGTAGAAAGTTAAGCTGAAATTGAGTTTTATGTATCTTTTAAGTGAATTTGTGTGTCATTTCTTTATTTAGGAATATTTTAGTAGTATGGGGATTATTTGAATTTTTTAGAGATTTGAATTTTTTCTCTGATACACTCATCAGGGACAGCTGCTGTTCTTTTGGGGATGTTCATTTGATAATTTCTTCATTTGATACACGTGGTCTGTGTCAGCTCTACATTTCTCATTGGTTTATTTTTTGGAATTTAAATAGAAACAGGGCAAGAAATATATATATATATATATATATATATATTTCAAATACTTTTATTTAATAAAACAGAGAAAGAGCTGGGGTGGGAGGATAGTGTCTTGCAAAGCTCCCTGTACAGAAAGTAGCATTTAGATGGCTGGTAGCAAAAGGAAAGAGAAGGTGGGGAATCAATTTTCTCTTCATAGATTTCTCCATCAGATTTAAGTCTGGTTCAGAGGTCAAAGTGGATATGTCCTGTATTGGGCATTCCAAGAATACAATTAAAAGATGACATAACTAGGAGAACCTATGGCAGACTTACAAATCTAGATTCTAGTCCTTAGAATATTCTGTCTTTGGGAAAGCTCTCGTTGCCTTGTGGAAATTTTAACTGGTGTGCAAGCCCAGTTCAGAGAACTATGTATAAGGATATGCTAAGGATCCTGAGATATGGGCTATGTCTAGCCACATAATTGGAATTTCAGGCCATAGAAAAGACACTTGACCTGACTTCTGGGACTAAGACTGCAGCCACAGTCTTCCATAGGCAAAATCATGAAATATATTTTAAATAATATATTACTTTAGAAATATATTTCAAGGAATTATATCACACGCTCTTTTTCTGCCTCTCTGTTCTTGAGCGTCTGCCTCTTCGTCTAATGCCAAAAATCGGGAGATGCCAGAGTTGAAAGGGGCCTTAGAGACTGCAGCCCAATCTCCTCATTTAACAGCTTGCGAATATTACTGAGATGCTCATTCGTGATGGGACAGTAACTCTGCTTACTTTGGCATGCCATGTGAGCTGAATGTTCATATTCACTTAGAACTTCAACTTTGAAAAAAAAAAATAATAAAAAAAGATTCATGTATGACAGTGTGTTTATCCTGAGATCTGAGGGGCTTTTAATTTTGATCCAGAAGAGGAATGGCCAGTTGGCCAGCCAAGCCAGGTTATTAGTGGATGGGTTTCCAGCCTGCTGATCAGACAATTTGCTGTCATGCTATTGGCAGAAGAGAATTGGGCAGCTCCCTTTCAGGGGCTCCCATAATATGACGGGTGAAACTCAGTCTGAAATGTCCTGGAGGTGGTAGTGTGGCCTCGGCCCTTTTTGATGACATGTGTTGGCACAGTAGTTTGTTGTTACATTTTTTTTAAGTGGTTTTTTTTTTTTTTTTTTTTGTTAACTTTATATTGTGATTTGGATGAAAGTTTACAGAGCACATTCATTTTCCATTCAACAGTTCATACATATTCTTTTGTGTGACGTAGACTGCAATACCCATAACGTAACAGCTCTCTTCCCACTTCCTGTGTCCTTCTGTCCTATGCATTCCTGCCTTCTGAGCTTTCTTCCTACACACATGCTGCTCTTCTGCTCTCCCCTGGTTGCTTGTTCTAAGGAGTGTACCTCCTTGGTGTAACAGTTCACCTCATAGGCCTGTCTATTGTCTGGTTGAAGGTTAAGCCATAGGAGTGAGTTCAATTCCAGGCCTGAAGGGTGACTAGGGGCCATAGTCTCGGAGGTTTCACCAGTCTCTATCAGACCAATAGGCCTGGTCTTCTATATGATGTTGAGTTTTGTTCCATATTTTCCTCCCAACCTATCCAGGGTATCCAATTTTGATCCCTTTCTGAGTGGTTGACAGTAGTAGCTGGGTACTATCTAGTTCTTCTGGTCTCAGGGTCATGTAGGCTGATGTTCACATGGTCAACTAGTCCCTTGGACTAATTGTTTCCATGTGTCTTTGTTTTCTTCACTCTTCTTTGCTCTGGATGAGGAGAGACCAATAGTTACATCTTAGATAGCCATTGGCAAGCATTTAAAACCCCAATTGCTACTCACAAAAGTAGGATATAAAACAATGTTTTTGTGTACTATGTTATGCCATTTGAACTTGATGTCTCCCATGACCATGGACATTTTTGAAGTTTTCAATCCTTTCAAGAAAATAGATGTCTATTATGGGTGACTTGTTTTCCGTGTCCAGCTCTGCTTGTTTCATTGTTGTGTCTCTGGGCAAGAAGGAAGCTTGACCTTTCACACTCCTGACCGGTCCCTTTGCCTCTCATAGGTCTGCGATGAGGAATGGCACCACTATGTCCTCAATGTGGAATTCCCAAGTGTAACTCTCTACTTGGATGGGGTTCCTCATGAGCCCTTCTCTGTGACGGAGGATTACCCACTTCATCCATCAAAGATAGACACTCAGCTTGTGGTTGGAGCTTGTTGGCAAGGTAACATCAACAACTCCCCCTCCCCCAATATCATGAACTAAATCATACCTTTTTACAGTGAAAACCCTGTTGCTAGGGCCTCACGTCCTTAACCCTCTTTTCCTTTGTCTCTTCATTCTTTATCCCATGCATAGCTTTTCTGGGGCACCACTGGTGCCATGTTCTAGTGTAGCTCTATTGATGGGCTCTCAGAAATGTGTGCCTAGGAGTGAAATACACCCACATCTGTCCTGGGAACCTGGGAAGGGAGCATTGCACAGAGGGAGAGTGTAATTGGGGAGCTGTTTTCAAATTAATCTGTTTATTAGAAAATTTACAAGGCAAAAAGGCAATAATCAAAAGACATTCTGTAAGGGGCACAAAACTCTACCTAAGCTTTGGACATGGAGGATATCTCCAGAGTACTTAGAGCTTGTTAGCCTGATGGGACCCCCAAGAAGGAGCTGTTGGCCTTCTGTCAGTGCTAATATGTTTTGAGATGATTCCATGGAAACTAGAATGATCTTAAGTGGCACAATCTTAAGTGTGGTTTGTTGTAACTTGAATAAGTTGTAAATTGGGGGCAACCTGCGCGTGCTGCTTTATTAACAAATGAAGAACCAGGTTTGGCAGCAGGTCTGTAACTACCAAACTGTGAAAGTACTGAGGAGCAAAAATGATGTTTTTTGTGACATCTGTAGCAACCAGAGTATGATGTGAAGATATCTCTGGTTTCTATTGGTGTCCAAGTTGCAGTTGCTGCTAGTACTACTGCAGTTTGTTGCCTACATTATAACCAAAGGAAATGCTAAATTTCAGAAGTTAGTGAAAATAACCGTGTGATTTTCCCCATCTAAATCCACGGACTCCTCAGCCTCTCCACCAGTTCACAGTCCCACTCCAGCCCCCTCTTGGACTCTGTAGACTCTGTCCTGTGCCTTGAGTCATGATACGAACTTGCTGACAGGCATTATGAATATTTCTCTTCTCCCTGTGGGAGCAGTCTACCTTGAGTTAGGTTAGGAATTTATGAAGGCGCTTAATTTCTAAGGCAGATTTGCTTGTGTTGGGAGAATTTGAATTTCATAATTTTCCTGAGGATTCTCTCTCATGAAAAGGAAAATGGCTGTGTGGTAGAGTGGATCTCTTCAGCAGGTTCCCAGAATGAAAGCTGGTGACAGGTTCTTAGCTGATCCTCTTAAAATTTCAATGCAAATTTGTTTCCCAAATTAAATAGTAATCTCTGCATAATTTAAAAAAGAATAAAAAGTAAGCCTAAAAATTATTTTTATATTCTAGGTGCTTCATTGCTTTGGTTAAAATAAACCACCTCGCCTTTCTTGATTTCTGTTCCTGTCACGATCGGCTTTTTGACTTTCTTTTACTTTTCCTACCTCAGCCCTTTTGATATCCTCCCCAGAGAAATCTGCCTGAATTCCCAAACCAACCAAACAAAATTCTTTAAAAAGTAGTTAACAGGGATGAGAGCTTTCTTGCTCTAAGTGGAAACCACTTTGTTGCTGAGCCGTCATGGTATGCCTATGCTAAAGGCGGCAGCTTTGTTCCTGTCAGACTGCAGCGTCATTTCTAGAGGGGTATTAGAGAGGAACATGCTGGGCGTGGAGGCGGGCAGCGAGCTGTGTGCTCCAGGCGCCCTGGGCACACCCTGGTCTCACCTGAGGTGTGTCCTGTCACTGCTGCAGCCCAGTGGGTCCGGTGGGGGCAGCCTGAGTCGTGGGCCATGAGTGGAGAAGGACTTCTCCTAAATCATGATCCAGAAAATGAAGCTCCGTCCTCAGCCATTGGGAGATCGGCTCTCCAATATGGCACTGGACTTGGAAAGCAGACCGGAGCTATAGCTGGTTAGACGCCCCTCCAGGTGAGTTCCTTAACCTCTGGGACTCCTTCCCTCTTCAAGAAAGTGGTTAAAAATCTCCTTTTCTCTGTCACTCAGAGGTTGACATGTAGACAGATGTGAACTCAATTTGCACTTCAAACAGTACACATTGTGGCCTGTTTAGCATACACCAGGCTTTGGGCGCCAACATGAAGCACCCGACACTATCTGCACCAAGTGTCCCCCCTGCTGTGGATCCAGGGTTTGGTGTTGGCTCTCACAGTCCACAGCGGCAGTGGTCAGCCTCCTTGGAATAGCATACTCAGTAGCACAGATCGTAAGATCAGTGAGTTTAGTTCATGCACTCTTATGTGAGTTTGAATCTAACACAGTGAGTCAAGAATGAACAATGAAAGTTAACTCACGCAGGGCTGTAGCTCTCAGCAAATAATTGACACCTACCCAGTAGTGTTTTCTTAAGCTTCATTAATTTTACAGTATTTAGGACAGAGAAGAAAGGGTCAAATTCCATCTTGGCCTGCTCTCCTGCCCTGGCCTTAGGGTGAGCTGACAAAGAAACCACTACACAAAGCCCCTCAATACCTTATGGGTGAAAGACAAAGGGACCTGGGGCTTACAAACCATAGGGGTCTACATGCTGGGGCAAATAGGAAAAGGGGAAAGGGAGGAACAGGAAAGCAACCCCTGATGCCACCCGGGCTCAAAGCATGTGATGGCCCTGTGGTCATTTTCCCCAGCTTTGATGGCATCAAAGGGAGAACACTCCCTCCCCTTCTGGGATCTGAGATTAACTCTTGCCAGCAGGCAGTAATATAGTTAATCATATACCTTACCACTAAGGGCACTGGGGACTGGGGGTACCTGCTTTCCTCAGGGCACAGTCTTCCAGCACTGTTTCAGTGTAAGGGTCTTGTAGACGGTGGGAGAGGAAACTGCTTTCTGCTGCTTCTGCACCTGTGTTTTGCCAAGGAGGATGTGGGAAGATGAAATCAAAGAAAACAGATGCATGTTGGGCTGGGAAATACTGCTCTGGGAAAGGGGATGTGTGCTAACTTACGTCTGGGTGGAGTCTGCCCTGAAGAGGGACGGGGGGTGGGCGGCGTGTTTCTCTGTTTTGTATTTGGTAGCTTCTGCCCCAGTTTTCCCGTCCAGTGTGAAGACCCTAACCTCTTGGTGCTTTTCTATTGTCTCTGTCTTGCTTTTCTACAGAGTATTCAGGACTTGAGAATGACAATGAGACTGAGCCTGTGGCGGGGACCCCTGCAGGTTGCTGAACTCCTTTCCCTACAGTTCACTCTTAGGTTTCCTTTAAAGAGACATTGATTCATTCCACACTGCGCATGAAACGCCCAGGTTGCATTTTGACCCCCAACACCATTTGAGCTACTGCCTTGTGCTTCCCATGGCCCCATGGAATCCCCTCAGCCCATTGGGATCCCAGCTCAAGTGGGGGCACATGGCTCACTAATGCACTGCACTAATGGGTTCCCCCTCATCAAGTTTGACCCTGATCCCACTGCATGAGGCTCCCCACTCACATCTCACAAGGCAGGTTGGGGGGCCACTTCATGGTTCTCATGGGGCTGAACCATGAGACAGGAAAGGCTTATTTCTAGATAGTCTATCTTGATTGACGTTGATTTTAAATCTACATTTCTTAGAAACCTTGACCCCTAGGGATGATATCAGGTCTGAGGTCCTTATCAGGACGTGGGGCCTGCTGGGAGTTTGTCTGTTCTTCTCCATCAGCTTAAGAACAAGGTTTAGTTTCACCTGTTTTGAGCTCTTTGACATAGTTTGCCAAGGCCCGTTTTCTGGGTTTTGGTTCTCTTTGGAACATCTCCACTCCCCAGTTACCCTCAGTGGTAGGAGACAGGAACGATGCAATCCCGCAAAGATGGTCTGCAAGGCCTTGATGCCAGGGATGTTGGGTTCCGAAGAGCAGCGGACAGTTGAAGCAGCACTTCTGGTAGCATAGTGCCTGAGGCACTTGACTGCTAACCAGAAGGCTGGCAGTTCAAACCCACCAGCCACTCCTCGGAAGGAAGGTTGGGCAATCTACTTCCGTAGTGATCCACCTCGGAAACCCAAGGAGGGGTCACTATGAGTTGGGTCCAACTCGACGGCACGTAACAACAACATCACTGTTTAGGATCATCCCCAAATTGGTGCACATCCCCTAGGTCTGCTCAGCTAGGAACAGCAGTGATGCAGCTGACTGGGAAGGCAGGGAGTGGATGCTGAGACTGATAGTGGTAGGAAGTGTCCCTTCTGTACCAGGTGAGGGAGCTGGTACAGCCTGTCCTTGCCAGGGGGTGGCCAGATACAAGGGGACACTCATGGGACCTCTTGGCTTCCAGGTGTAGGTGAGGGAACCCCCAACTCCTTTTTTTTCCAGGCCATATGCATGATCATCAACAATTTAATTTCTTCATTGTTCTTCATGTAGACTGCAAGGCTAACAGGGTTTGGTATGAACTAACCTGCATGTCCATACATCAACTTGCCACCACTGGTAACAATGCATTAAAATATGAAGCCCCTTGACTATTTCTATAACTTCTGGCATTTTTCCCTGTCCCGAAGGTGGTGACCTGCACATGACCCAGTTTTTCCGAGGTAATCTGGCTGGCCTGACAATCCGATCTGGGAAACTCGCAGATAAGAAGGTCATCGATTGTCTCTATACCTGCAAAGAGGGGCTAGACCTGCAGGTCTCCGAAGACAGCGGCAAAGGAGTGAAGGTAACACCAACCAGAGAGTCAATTGGCATTTGCCCACCCAGCATTAATGCACTTCTTAGACCACAAGTTATGGACGCTGTCAGAACAAGGAAGTAACCCATGGCTGTGCATTTGCACTTTAGTGGTCGTTCTTGTGGTTAATTGCTATTGAGTCAGCTCCAGGTCACGCCGACCCTCGTGTAACAGGACGAAATGTTGCTGGATCTGCGGCAGCATCGTGTTCGCCGTGTTTGAGTCCACTGCGGTGGCTGCTGTGTCACTTCACCCCACTAAGGGTTCCCTCGTTTTCGCCAACCATTGCTTTACCATCAGTGATGTCCTTTTCTAGTGCTGGGTCTTTTCTGGTGACGTGTTCAAAGTAAGTAAGGTGAAGTTTTGTCATCCTCACTTCAAAGGAGCATTCTGGTTATATATCTTTTCTTCCAAACATTAGATATGACCATCATATAAAAGATTCCATTTCATTCACTGGAATTCGATAAGCTTTTCTTTTTCAAGTTACTAAGTCAAACTGACCCCAAGCTAATCCTCTTTGCCAGAGTATTCATGGCTGTCAGCTTCCTGCAAATGGAACCTCACTCCTCTCCTCTCTCCACTTGGTGTGATTTCAGGTCCAAGCCAACCCCAACCAGTCTGTATTGACCTTGGAGGGAGAGGATCTTGGGGAGTTGGATAAGGCTATGCAGCATATTTCCTACCTGAACTTGCGCCAGTTCCCCACTCCTGGAATCCGGAGACTCAAAATCACCAGCACTGTCAAGTATGTTCAAATTTCTAACAGTAAACTTGTCATAGTGCAGTGACACCTGAGAAGAAAACATGTATAATTTACATTTTCAAGACAACCTAACCTACTTTCTATAAGAAGGTAGACTGTCCCTTATTACCACAGAATCTGAGCGAGAGAGTTGAATACTGTGTAAGTGGGTGGATGGCCTAAGGTTCCCACTCTTTTTTGTCTCCTGAAACTGGCTCTCAGAGCCCTGACCATCTCCTTTCTCTCTGTTTGTTTCTGGCAGGTGTTTCAATGAGGCCCCCTGTATCACTATCCCCCCAGTGGATGGCTATGTGATGGTTTTGCAGCCGGAGGAGCCCAAGATCAGCCTGAGTGGTGTCCACCATTTTGCTCGGGCAGCTTCCGAATTTGAAAGCTCAGAGGGGGTATTTCTCTTCCCTGAGCTTCGAATCATCAGCACCATCACAAGAGAAGTGGAGCCCGAACGGGACGGTGATGAGGACCCTACAGGTAACAGCCCTCTGCATGAGACTGGCTCCCTCTTCCTCCCCTTGACTGGAGACTGCACAGTGGAAACCCCATTGGTGCCACGTACTTCCTGGGTTCCTCTTCTCAGTGGGATTTGAGGGGATTTTAACGTTTACCTTGCTATTCTTGGGCCTGTTTCTGACCCATGGGCTGGAGCTCAGTGTGGATCCTTCCTCATTTCCTGGCTGCATGTCAGGGTTTGAGATTTAGCTTGAGGAGGTTGGAGAAGCGAGATGGTTTCAGGGGGCTGTGGAGTTGCTCATCCCTCCTGCCCCCTGGTGGTGTACGTGCTCAGCTCAGCCAGCCCCAGCAGGCACAGGTGCCTTCCATGCTGGTGGCCCATCCTCCTAGATGCATAAAGTGTCCCCCACTACTACTGGTTCTCCAAAGTGGCTCTACCCTACCTCCCTCACTAGTTTTTCTCAGAGTTTTGTGAATCTGAGGACAAGCCAGTGTGACTAGCCATGCAAGGTTGTGTGACAGTCTGACAGGTGTGACCAGCCATGCAAGGTTGTGTGACAGTCTGACAGGTGTGACTAGCCATGCTGGACTGCAGTCTGCTCTCTCTGGCCATTTTTGCAGTTCAAGAGTCCCTGGTATCTGAAGAAATTGTGCATGACCTGGACACCTGTGAGGTCACCGTAGAGGGAGATGAGCTGAACCAAGAGCAGGAAAGCCTGGAAGTGGACATGACGCGCCTGCAGCAGAAGGGCATTGAGATGAGCAGCTCTGACCTGGGCGTGGTTTTCACAGGTGAGGAGGGTGCTGCTCCCAGGTGTGTTCTGGAGGAGATGGGGTGAACATTGGCTGTGCACCAGCACCCATCCTCCTGTAGTGGGCAGTGGGGATGTGACCGTACAGAAGGGTACGCTTCAGGCACATGACGGCTCGCCCCCTTCTGGAGGGAAAAATGCCCAGGACAGCTTGCACTCTTGCCTGCAATCAGGTTGAAATGTATGACCCTCGCCTTAGCAGTCCAAGTGCCTGACTGTAGAGTCCCTTTGTCCACACCTGTGTTCCTGCCTGAGAACCCACAGGCAGCCTCTGTCTTCCCCCTGCAGGTGTGGACACCATGGCCAGCTACGAGGAGGCACTGCGTCTGCTGCGCTACCGCAACTGGCACACCAGGTCCTTGCTCGACCGTAAGTTCAAGCTCGTCTGCTCGGAGCTGAATGGCCGCTATGTCAGCAACGAATTCAAAGTGGAGGTGAGCTCAGGGCAGACAGAGCGCCTGGCTCTAGGCCTTAATGCTAGCAGATGCTACTTCTTAGAGCCTTTGTGGTATCAGATATTTAAACTTGTCGCAGGGGTGGGTGTCCTCTTCCAGCCTTGGGGTGCTGCAGTTTAGGTGACAGGTTATACAGGGCAGACTGGGGTTCATTACAGTGCATGCTCTCAGCTGCCTCAGGGGGCCTTTGGCGGGAGGTGGGGAAGGGCAGGTGGCGGATTAGTGCCTAGGGAGTAGAGATAGGGCTATGGAGTGTTCACATGAGGGAGACACGGTGAAGCTGTGTTAGAATGCCCAGGGAGCCAGGCTCTTTGGGGATCTATCAGATCACTGGCCTTGTTCTGAGTAAAGTTGGTCCTTGGTGAAAGGTCGTTTCCAGGGTGCTGGCATGGGGACCAGCAACAGTAGCCATATATTTGATGAGGATAGTGGTGACTCAGGCCTCAGTGGCCACAGGACCACTCATGTTGTTCTGAAACAAGTGACTACTTAAGTCATTCAGGGCCCTGTGATTAGGAGGAGCTATCCAGAGTGACCCCAGGAACAGAACATCCCAGCCTGGAGAAGTGGACCCAGAGGGACCTGAGCAGCGGCTCATCCCCACAGGGGCCTGAAAGGCCACAGACGCTAACCCCACAGTGCTGAGGAATCAACGAGCTTTTGTTTGACCAAAGGATACCTGATTTGAAAGGAAATAAGTGGTTATGTTTTGTGCTTTCTGCCTCCCAGCTGTAGGTTTTGGGACAAGGAGGTGGTGATCTGTGTCAGGGCTTCTTGAACTCCCTGTGGCAAAGGTCCAGGGCTTGCTCTTTCCCCCGACCTGTTGTGGACGGATCCTTTTGTACAATAAGAATGAGTTAGTAGAAAAGCAGTGTGTGTCTGGGATGCGGTGGCAGCATCAACTCATCACAGAAGTTTCCAGATGCTTTCTCTCGATCCCTGTCCTTCTCTCCTCACAGACAGTGCCACAGTTTGCAGATCAGCCCTGGTCCAAGGGCCACACTTGGAGCGGCACTGGTCTGCGTCAACTTCTGATTCCCTTTTTATCCCTTGGCCAGTAATCCTCTGTCTCTTTCTGCTGCAGGTGAATGTAATCCACACGGCCAACCCCGTGGAGCATGCCAACCACATGGCCGCACAGCCACAGTTTGTGCATCCCGAGCACCACTCCTTTGTCGACCTGTCGGGACACAACCTGGCCAGTCCCCATCCTTTTGCAGGTAGGGTGTGGGAAGGGCAGCTCCACGGACATGCTCGTGCCCTGTGAAGCCCGAGTCTCCTCAGAGTACATGCCTTCCTCCCTCTGCCTTCCCCTTCCCCTGCTCCACAGCGGGGGAGGGCAGGAAGGCCTCTGACGGAAGCATACCACTGTCCCCAAAGCCACCCCCTGGTGGTGAGTCTGCTGTCAACAGTGCATGTCACATGTAAGAAAACAAAGCCCTTGCAGAAGGCACATTGAGATATCTGAGGTCACAGAGCAGATTGACAGACCCAGGTTTGAAACCCGGGCCAAGCTTTTCCTAAGGTTTTTTTCCCATCCCTTAGGGATCACCCTGAACATTCTGACAGCCCATTTTGACCTTGTGTAGCCCAGGAGGCGTCAGGCACAGTGAGCCTCCGGGTTAGATGGCAGGATGGGCTCTGACTTCATCCCCCCTACCCCCACCCTGCTGCAGTCGTGCCCAGCACTGCGACCGTGGTGATTGTCGTGTGCGTCAGCTTCTTGGTGTTCATGATCATCCTGGGAGTGTTTCGGATCCGGGCCGCTCACCAGCGCACCATGCGGGACCAGGATGCGGGGAAGGAGAACGAGATGGACTGGGATGACTCTGCCTTGACCATCACCGTAAACCCCATGGAGGTAGGCACGGACAGGTGGCATGGTGATGGGCAACAGCTTCAGGCCAGCCCAGAGTCAGGCTGACTGCAGACAGACACACAGTATCAGCCCTTCCGCCCTCCACTGTGTTTACGTCCTTAGCTCAGGTAACCCTGGCAGCAGCTCTGTGAGGTAGCCACCCTCATCTTTCTGACGGGTAAACTCAGGCTTCTTGTTGTTGTTGTTTGCTGTGGAGTCGACTCTGACTCACAGTGACTCTGTAGGACAGAGTGGAACTGCCTTACAGAGTTTCCAAGGCTGTAATCTTCACGGGAGCAGATCACCAGGTCTTTTTCTGTATGGAGCAGCTGATAAGTTCAAACCACTGACCTTTCAGTTAGCAGCCAGTCCGTAACCACTGTGCCACCAGGGCCCCTTAGCTCAGGCTGAGAGATGCTTATCTGAGGTGGTGCTAAGTGGTACATATGGCAGCCTGTGCCCACACCAGGTCCATTCTCACCCACACAGTGCTCTTTCTCTCCTTGTTTGCTCTGCTGGTCTCCACCCATACAAGTTTCTTGGGTGGGAAAACCGAGGCACCCTGGCACAGTTCTTCTGGCGTTGACCCAGATTCTGGTGCCACTTGGGCTCCTTCTAAAGGTTGGGTGATTGGGCACAGGTGGGGGGTCGGGGTTGGACTTACCCCACCATCTCTTTGTTAGACTTACGAGGACCAGCACAGCAGCGAAGAGGAGGAGGAGGAAGAGGAGGAGGAGGAAAGTGAGGAGGGTGAGGAGGATGATGACATCACTAGCGCCGAGTCGGAGAGCAGCGAGGAAGAGGAAGGGGGGCACGGAGACCAGCCGGGCGCCAGCAGGCAGCAGCAGCAACTGGAATGGGACGACTCCACCCTCAGCTACTGACCGTGCGGCTGTGGCGGCAGCAGCTCCTTGGCCATCCTCTTTTCTGCTTCCGAAGACTGCCGCCCCTGACCCTACTCGTCCCAAGGATCCACGATGTACAAAGTCATTCGGCCAGTAGGTCTGCAGACCCTCCCTGGTGCCGGTTGTCCACCCCTGCTTGGTGTGTAGGACTTAGGCTCCCCTCCCTCTGCCTGGACCTTGTCTAAGTTATGTGAGGAGGGTCCCCCATGCCCTCCGCCGTCATCTCGCTCTGTGCAGTGACCCAAAGCACCCGGACACGCACACACGGTGTCCGCAGGCCACTCTTGGCTAGCAAGGACCCAGCTGCTTGTACCTCCAGGAGCCCCACTGACGGACTTGCTGACCAAGGGTAACACTGTTCACGCCTGCCTGGTAACTGGTTTTTTTTTTTTTTTTTTTTTTCCTTCTTTTTTTTTAAAGAAAGTCTTTATTTTTTCCAAACTAGTGCATGTATAAAATGGCAGAATGGGGGCTAATATGTAGATGATTAACTGACTTTTTAATATTTTGTAAATAAATTGAATTCTGTTGTGTCCCTTGTGCTAGTGTAATCAAGGACTGGAATTTAAAATGAAATTCAGATAACTGAGTGCAGTGGAGACCCTCATGGGCTCGCTGCTGACACCGGCCTACCCACCCCACCGAGAACAAGAAGCCGGTTCCACCCCACCCCCAGAGGCTCCCCAGGTCCTGCTCGGTACAGTCCAACCTCAGGTCTCTGCACGAGGGTGGGGCAGCCAGTCGGAAGCACAGGCTCTTGGTCCTGCTCGGCCAGTGAGACTGGATGGGGGGCCCCTCTCCGCGGAGGCTGGACATAGCCACACCTTCTTTGGAATTGTTTCTAATTCGGTGGGTGTGGGTGGGAGGGGCTTGCTGGGATCATTGACCTGTTAGACACTCCTTGTACAGTCACCTGGACTCTTCCTGTGCAGCCTTGTTGTTTATACTTAATAAATGTATTTTTCCCTGCTGGCGAAATGCTGTATAGATGATACAAACGGACAACCGTTGCGCAAACCACGTGGGTACTCGGTCTAGGGACAGCAGCAGGCCTGAGCGAGCCGGACTCAGGACGGCCGAGGAGCAGATGGGCTGCACAGAGCCTCCCCCACTAGCCAAAGCCCCCGTGCTAGATTTTCCCCCAACAGCTGTTGTCCCCTCCACCTCCCCAGGGTGACCCTGCCCTGGGGTGTTGCAGCCACACCCAGTGGCAAGGAGGGAAACGAGAGAACATTCAGGACTAAAAACCCACACAGCCACTTTTTCTTCTTTTTTTTTTTTAATTTAAATGTAAAATTTTAGATTTCTAAAATGGGGCTGGGGGAGGGTAACTTTGAATATTGTCCTGTGGTCATCACTGCTAGTTCCAGGAAAACGGACAGTCACCTTCTGTTCCTGTGTAGCCATCCTCCATACCCACCACTGTAGCTGCTCTGTTTAGACCACTGATAACCCAACACAGAGAGGGGCCACACTCATGTCTGCAGCCGCCACAGGCATCACTCCTGAGATGTGTGTACTGATGCTAGGTCAGAAAGTGTATCTGCTATAATAAAGTTCTGGTTCTAACTCCACTCAGAGTGGCGTTTTGTTTTTATCTTGTTAATTTTTGAATCCTCCATTCCCCTCACTGCTTTTGAGCACAGACAAAAACATAACAAGGCTTTTCATTTCTTTTTAAATCTGCTTTTACCTCTCATTCCAAAGTTTTACAGAGTGCTGGTCATGGCCTTTATCAGTTCCAATGAACTTGCCTTCCCCATACAGAAATAGTAAATGATTTAAAAAAATAGGTAATCTTCTCACCAGGCACACAGACTACACACCCAATCCCAGAATTGCTGTGTATGTGCAAAGGAATGCTGCCCACGCAGACACGCTTCAATAAATAACAACATACATATATATACATATATATACATATATATATATATATATACACACACACACTCGGCCTTTTCATTTCCATACAGGTGATGTGGCGCTAATTAATTTCAGCACGTGCTTTGGAGAAGAGTGGAGTCATTTGGCGACTTCAGATGAACCAGGTGTTCTGAGTGACGCTGAAAGACTGGGGGCAGAGCCCGCTGGGACCAGCCACCTCGTGGAGCAGGGACCATCTGCCCGCCTCTCACCAGACCCACAGTCAGCATCTGCCTTTTTTTCACCAGGCACTGGGCTATTGGGAGGGCAGCGGCCTTGGCTCTGCCGAGCCTCAGAAGGCCTTTGAGAGGTCAGCAGTGGAGCGTGGCCAGTCCCTGTTAGGACCACTTGCGGCTTCTGAAAACCCCGACTCCTGGTCAGGAGGTGTGGCCTGGGAGTTTAAAGCTCTGCAATCCAGGCGGTTGGGAACTTGGCTCTTGCCATTAAGTACCTTCAGAGAAAAAGACTCACCATGCCCCAGATTCCTCACGCTTCTGATACCAATGACCCTCAGCAGGTTTTCAGACTAGAGCTCAGGCCCCACACCTTAAGGAGCATCTGCTGTCTGGGGCAGATCCCAAGTATCGCATGGAATACTCTGGAACCTGCTTTTCCTTCAATTTGGAGCCAGAATGAGCTACAACAAGCTCTTTTTTGGACATTTTTTTAACACATCTTGAGGACCCGCATAATTATACTTTGAGGGAGGTGGGTCCGCTCTCCCGAGCCATGGAGGTTCAGTAAGGAATTTGGCTGCATTTCTTAACCCGCACACAAAATGGCTTTACAGCAGAGATGGGAGGATCCCCAGGCCCAAGAGTTACTTTAAAAGTGAAGTGCGGCATCCCTGAATCTCGAGGGCGCCGGGTGTCCTCAGGCGGGGGGGCACCCCAAATCACAGTCGGTGGGGGACCCGCAGGGCTGGGCAGCACAGAGGTGGTAGCAGGAGGAGGGCTGAGAACCGGGGCACCTCTCTGGACAGTAGGCACCAGGTGACCGGTGGAGCTGACACCCCCACAGCCAGCAGCTCCCAGGAGGGGAGGAGTCTGGCTGGACCCCGATCACCAATTGGAAGACTTGAGGCTGCCACCCTGCACTGAGGGGCAGCCTGGAGGACGCCCCACGTCCCTCCCCACCAGGCTCAAAGGCTGCACTTCCTTTTATGGCTGTTTAGTCCCTTCCGCATTTCAAGTCATAAATAAATAACCCAAAGTATTTCAGTGTAAACAAAAGGCAGTTGTGTAGGTTCTTTCCCATGAGGTGCAGTTCAGGCCTTTAGGGTAAAGGTCGCCTCTGCTCCAGCACAAGGGCGGGCCAGAATGTGGCTACTGCCTATTATCTTTGGATACGTTGTGGGCCAGCCAGTTCACTTTGGTTTTCCAGCTCTCCCGCAGGGCTTCATTAAACTTGACCCGGAAGTGCTTAAGTGCCTCCTCCTCTGTTTTTCCCAACGCCAGGGAGTCCTGAGACCGGAGCATCAAAGCAGTGTTAACACAAAGGGGCCCAGACCTGGCTCAGGAATGCAGCCCTCCCCGCCCCTCTGGGTATTATAAGATCCCGCCTAAAGAAGTGCTGGAATAATCAGGCTACAGCTACTCCCAAAGCAAGACAAGTCAAAATACAAAATAAGGGTGCAAACTCGCCAAAGTCCCTTGGCCCCAAGCCCACAGGTGACAGCTTTGCCTTCTCCAGTGGAGATAGGAGCTCCAAGAGGAAGCGGGGGGGGCAGCTTCATTCCGCACAAGTTGGCACCAAAAGGGCACCCCAGCCAGTGTTCCTGGCTGGGCCACCCTCACTACCCATCCCAGCGGCTCACCAGCTGGAAAGTTGCAGGAGAGGAAAACTGTACCTAACCCAGTCCCTCATTCTATGAACGAAAAGCTTTGGGCCCAAGAAGGGTAAGTGGGTTGACCAAGGCCACAGAGCATGCATGTCTACAACAGGCTGAAGACAAGCCAAGCAGCATCACCAGGAGGACATGAGGGACACACGAGTTAGAAACAGCCCGTGGGGCCCACCACATGGGGCCCTCCTAGGTCGCAGCCCCTGGAGGGAAGCCTTGGGAAGTCTGGCTGCGCCTGGTGTCCCGCGTGAAGAGGTCCTCCTGATTCACCTTGAGATACTGGATGTCTTTGGAGCAGCTGAGTTCAGGCAGGCCTGCCGCCCTCATGAGCGTGAAGAGGTGGAGGAAGAGCAGCCCGTGGCGCCGCAGGATGGTGTAGGCTTTCTCACAGTAGTCCCGGAACCTGCACAGGTAGAGGCAGAGATGCCGCAACCTCCCCAGAGTGCCTGCCCTTGCCATGAAGACAGGCCATGTACACAAACCCCAATTCCTCTAACTGACTCCTATGCCACTGCCTGGCTCCTACTACAGGTACACGGCTATGAATGGCCCTCTACAGCCCCCCCGCAGGGCACTCCAGGATTGCAGTGGGGGTGCTCAGGACTGAGAAGGCAGAGACATGGTCCAAATCCCTCGATCTTGGATTGGTGGCTGGCGTGGGACTAAGGTCTGATTCCCCATCCCTGTAGCCTGTGGGGACCTCTGCTCCCTCACTGGGACATGGCATAGTGCCTTAAGGCATTTGACTGCTTACCAGAAGACTGGCGGTTCAAACCCACCAGCCACTACTCGGAAGGAAGGTTGGGCAATCTACTTCCATAGAGATACCACCTCAGAAACCCAAGGAGGGGTCGCTATGAGTTGGTACTGACTTGACAGCAGTGAGTTTGGTTTTTGAGTTTAGTGGGTCTAAGGTACCCTCACCTTTCAAACTTCTCACTATTGTTTGTCTTCCCCTGCTGAATCACATGGACAAAGTCATAGGTGAGGATGAATGGGACTCGCTCACGGTTGATTCCAAACTTGGTCTTGAAGTTCCCCAGAAAGTGGCCAAAATCAATGTGGAACAGCTAAGGGGAGGGAAGAGCAAAGGCTGAAGGGGTGTCAGGAAGAAGAGCTGCCAGGTGCAGAGACTCCAAGGGACACAATGGGCTTGGCTTTGCAGGGGACTGTGCCCAGGAACTATGTATAGGGCAGGAAGGCCAGGGGCTGC